GCTTCGACTCTTAGGTAGAGAATGACAGGAGAAGCTCTGAAAGGAGAAGCTTTAGGGCAGACGGTCATCACAGGTACAAAATCTGCTGAGCACACAGTGCCTCATGGTTTTTCCTCTTCTCCAATAATAATCGAGAAAATTATACTTTTCCAATTTCCTCAATGATGATAGAGTGCCTCCTGGGCACACCTGCAGTCCCAGCTACTTGGGAGTCTGAGGTGGTAGAATTGAGACAAAAGGAGACCCTGTCATTTTTTTGCTATAGGGCATGTGCGCTCACCAGATAGAAAGAGAGAGACAGAGAGACAGAAAGCGAGAAATGATCCCCCAGGTGGGATGGCCACGCTGCAATCCTTTCTCCTCCATTCTCCTCTCGGGATCTTTCTTTCTTCTTCTCTCTCTCTTTCTTTTTAATTGCATGTGTGCCTACCAGAGACAGACAGAAAGAGAAGGAGAGGGGAGGAGAGGAGTGGCCCTCCAGTGTCACGCCACAATTCCTTCTCTTTCATGTCCATATCCTGTCGAGACCTTGGGCAGAGACACACATACTCAGCGTATTTTTTAAAACACCAGCGCTGGGATTTAAACCTTGGTCAGCCATGTGGGGTCCAACTCCCTTAATCACTAGTTTACGGGGCTAGCCTATTTTCCTTTTCTTTAAAATGGGGATAACTCCACCGCCTTACAGTGTATTGGAAAGATATATAGCATCTAGTATTGCCCAGGGCATAGTCAGCACTTTAAAAATGGGAGCAATTTCTCATATTACTTTTACTAGACACACTGACATTGTTGAACTTTCTGGGGTTTTTTTTTTTTTTTTTTTTTGGTCATTTGTTTGTTTGTTTGTTTTACTAGAGGGCTCATGTGCTTACCAGAGTCTGGGAGAGGTAGAGGAGAAAGCTGACCCCTCCCTGCCATGAGGCATGGTCACTCTAGAATCCTTTCTCCTCCTTCTTTTCCTCCTTTTGCGATTTTGGGCATGTTTCTCAATCTGCCAGGTCTGGGACTAGAATCACATGGCCGGCCATGTGGGATCTACCTGCCTTAACCACCAGGCCATGGAGCTGGTCCTGCACTGTTGAACTCTGGCAGACACCATTTCTTACATACCTTTGGGGGTAGTGGTAGATAATTCCTGATTTTTTCTTGGGGGGGAGGGGAACATAAGGATAGCTTAATTAAGTGTTGTACCTCTTTTCTTTTTCAAACTCGGCAGAAAAATTCAGTAACTAAACACTGCTCCAGTGTGTCAGGAACACTGTAATTAAATATTGACCCTGGGGCTGGCGTGGTGGTTGGGGTGCTGGACTCCCACATGGCCAAGTGTGGTTCGAATCCTGGATCTGGTGGCTTGCTTTCTCACTTTCCCCCTCTCTCTGTGGTCAAATTAAAAATAAATAAATAAAAGTAAAACATCCACCCTAATGAGCCTCTGTAAAGAGATGCTGTTCCCTCATTTGACCAGAGTCTGCCCTGTGCATTGCTTTCTTTAATCTTTGACCTTGGACTGCTTTATATAACCCATGGCTGGAATTACAGCCCATAAAGAGGGGGTCTGCCCTGTCTTGGACTCTGAACTTGGGCTCTTAAGGCAAGGTGAGCTCTCCTCAGCACCGAGGACTTCTCCGCTCTGCTTCCTTCCCTCCTTGGGTGAGATCTTACCTCGGATTCTCTGAGCTTTGCTCCTGCTCCAGTGTGGAGATGAGCTGTGTGGTGACTAAGAACACCCTGTGCGTGACAGTGGCATCGTTAGGAGAAGGGCAAATCAAGCAGATGGAGCCTTTTGCGGATGTGTTTTGGGTTGAACTTTAGCCCTGTCAGAGCTTTGCACACACGTACAAACACAGGGCTGAAAAGCATTTGTATTTTTGCTTAATTTGTGATTACCACAAATTCGTGGGAGGAGGTTCTGAAACCAGTTCCGTATGGCTTCTGAGTAGCTATAGCCTGTCTGTGTCCCCAGAATTGAGTAGGAAGAGACTTTCTCTGGACACCAGTTATTCTACTGCTGCGAGGGCGGGAGGGCGAGCAGTTCCTCGTACGGTCTCCCTGCACCGAGGCCTCAGGGAGCGTGCATCCAGTGCCCCTGCCATTGCTGCGGTGACATCTCCCTTCACCACCTCGTGCTTTCTCAGAACGCAGCTGGGTACAATCCAGCCACGCAGAGAGTGGCAGTGATTATTTGAGAAGGTCCATACTTCATTTCAGACCAGATAGCTCTTATCAGCCTAGATAAGTTCTGGGCGCCCTGAAATAGGCCTGCCCTACTGGGCTGGGTGTCTGCTTACGCCACAGCAGCGGGGTACAGGCCTGGCTGGTTCTGAACTACATTTGCCTTTGTATTGGGACCGCAGTCCTCAAAAGCACCCTTTTTACTCAGAAGTCAGGAAGATCCAAGTGGAATCCATCTGGGTTCCATGTTAAGGTTGTGGGTTCAAGTTCAGGCTGTGTATGTTCAAGTGCTGGTCTCCTCAGCTGTCCAGCGAGAACCGTAGCACCACGCTCTCAGAAGGGTGTGAGGATTACATATCTTGGTTCCTCCTTCCTCGATGTCTCTAATCACCCAGGTGAGTGGAATGAGGCTGCAACTTGGTAAAGTTGTACCTCACATCACTATAGCAAACTGTCTCCCAAATTAAGTCTTTACAGACAAATCCAAGTCCCCAGAATGGTATCCTACTCACTGATCAGAGAGGGGGCAGTTTTTAGAGCTCAGTGATTCATTTATTCACGTCATGATTTTTTTCTTTTTCTTTCCTTTTTTTTTTTTTTTTTTTTTTTTTTTTTTTTTTTTTTTTTTTGCTATAGGGCATGTGCGCTCACCAGATAGACAGAGAGAGACAGAGAGACAGAAAGCGAGAAATGATCCCCCAGGTGAGATGGCCACGCTGCAATCCTTTCTCCTCCATTCTCCTCTCGGGATCTTGGGCACGCACGCACACGTGCCCGGCATGAGTTTAAGCCACCGGGTCCGGGATTCGAACCGCGGTGGACTACATGGGAGTTCAGCAACATAGCCATTACGTTGGCCCCATGAATTTTTTTTTTAAATGAGAGTATGGGGAGGGAAGGAGATAGGTCTTTCTGATAAGGTCTTGCCACTTGTGATTCTTCTGCTCCCGTCTCCCAGTCAGCCAGGACCACAGGCCTGAGCCACTGAGCCTCGCCTGTTGAGTTTGGCCTGGGAACCAAACCTGGGCCTCCCATGTGGCCCCAGCCACTGCACAGCAGGATCCTCCTCATGCACTACTGAAGCTCGACCAACCTAATGTGTGTGGTATTTTTTTTTTTTTTTGAGCTTCTCTTGTATGATCAGCACTGTAGCTGAGTGCTTAGGATGTAAAGAAGAGTCAGTCACCCACAGCCCTAGAGAGGTCACATTTGGCTGGCAGAGACAGATGTATACACCAGTGGTTACCATGTGATAAACGGAACACTGGAGCTGGGCAAGAAATTGGGGGAGAACATTGAAAAAAATGTCCCTCTGCTTGGGATATTTTTTGTGGGGATAGAGTTAGAGTGGAAGAGGAATTTGGGTAGAGAAGACAAGCTTGAATAAAAGCGTGGAGTCAAGAAACATGTGGTATGTTTGGAGGTGTTTAAGTCAACTGGCATAGCTGGAGTGGGAGGGATGAGAGAGAGGAATGGAGTAGATCAAGAAGGCCTTTTGTACCATGACAAAGAGTTCAGGCCAGTAGTTTTCAAGAGACAGGGAACGTCTGCAGAGATAGGAAGGGTGGGCATCTGAATTTGGGGCAGCCACACAGCTGAGCACCCCAGGTTAGGTGGACTATGCTTTTTTATTTTTAGCGAGATTTTTGCTATGGGGCACGTGCGCTTATTAGAGATCCAGAGAGAGAAAGTGAGAGATAACTCCCCAGGGAAGATGGCCATGCCACAGTCCTTTCTCCTCCATTCTCCTCTCGGGATTTTGGGCATGCACGCACATTCACCTGGCGTGAGTTTCAAGTCTCTGGGTCCAGGACTCAAACCATAGCTGGCCATGTGGGAGTCCAGCGCCACAACCACTGTGCCACTTGCTGGTCCATGTTTTTAAGGAAGGTAGCTTGAAGAACTTGAGACCTGAAGCTTCTCTCAGGAAGAGTTCTAATTGCCTAGGGTCTGTAAAGTAGCGATGGAAAGGAATGAGTGATTTAGAACTTAAGCCTTGATTAATTACAGGAAGGGAGAATGAGGAAGCAGGAACCAAGTATAATCAGGCTTTACCTTTTCTAGCTGGGGGCTCGGCTTATACCTCTTTTGAAAGGATTTTTTCTGACCTCTAATCCAAACTTCAGACTGATTGCCTCAACTCATTACATCTTGCTTTATATTTGTTCTTAAGTTTGCATTTCCTAACAAAACTCTAAAAAGGTAGGGACTTTACCTTATAGTTTTGGGGAAGGTATAATTTTAGGTATTAATATTATTTGTGCATAATATTATGGGACTTCAAAGCATTTATTCCATTTAGCTCTGATTTTCTCCCAAGGGAGGAAGAAAGAATTAAACTCAATAGTCAAACGGAAGATGTCCTCCATCCAGAGGAATACATTTGTGACTTGTGAGTCTGCAAGGGAATTAAAAAAAAATCAAATACACATTGGATCGGCAGGTGGCATGTAAGGTGCTGGGCACTCCCACATGGCCGACCACAGTTCAAGTCCCAGATCTGATGGCTTGCTTTCTCACTTTCCTTTTCTCTGTGTGTCTGTCTTTCTCTGGTCAAATGAAAATAAATGAATGAATAAATAAAATTAAATAAATAATTCTTTAGGAAAAAGAATCAAAAACACATCAAACACATCCAAAAGAAATCTAAGAGATTGGGACCTCAGAAGAATAGGCAGTGTTTTTTTTTCATGTAGTTCTGGAATCAGCTCACTTGGAAAGGTTCCACTGGTAGGTTGGCAGTGACTTGATCATCCAAAACTCCCTCTTTGAGGCAGAATTAATTGCTGTGTCTAAGTGGTTCATATTTGTGATTCCCTTGGCAGGTCCAGAGCCCAGTGTGCAGTGTGAACTGTCACCCGTCAATGCCTCCCATCCTGTCCAGGCCTTGATGGAGAGCTTCACTGTCTTGTCGGGGTGTGCTAGCAGAGGCACGACCGGGCTGCCACAGGAGGTGCATGTCCTAAACCTCCGTGCCATGGACCAGGCACCCAGCCAGCCACAGAGAGAGGTAGGTGCAGGTGTCAGCTCTCAACCCACTGCACCTTGGAATCTGCAAAGACGGTTTTCTGAACAATGAGTCCTCTTCTTTTCTTCTGGGGCTCAACAGGGATGCTCGTATATGAACACAGAGAGGAGCAGGATTCCAAATCATGGATTGCTAACTGGATTGGATGATTTTAGGACTTCTCTCTGTAGAGATTCTTTGACTCTTCTCCTTTCCTGCTGCTTTATATTGGAAAGAATGTTTGTGTGGATTTCATATTTTAAATATGATTGTGGGATAAAAATAAGGTGCCATTTCTTTGTAATTCTAAAATGCTGTTTCTATTTCTTCCCATGCTCGCTTCATTTGATTGTCAGGAACCTATTGGTCCTGCAAGATGGGTCAGGGGAAATGGGAACTCTAGATAGGTAGAGTAACTTTGTACTTGCATGAAAACCCCTGGTGGTAGCTCTTATCGCCCTCTAGGCAGCCCTTGAAGATTGGTTGTGATGGTGATGATGACGTTGGTGATACACTCTTGTCTGAACACAGGCAGTACTCAGTATTACTGTTACTTAGTATTTCTCTGGGGCCAGCATCAATTGAAACACTCATCCACTCACCCCACGAAGTCTTACAATTATTTTACAGGTGATGAGTTAGGTGCAGAAATCACTTCCTCAATGCCATTACTTTCAGAGAGAAATGACCTCTTTCTTGTAGCTCCAAAATGGCCTAGCTTGTGGGTGAATGGTCACCCTATTTCCTTTAAAAGGATAGATTTCCCCACAAGATAACACATGGTTGTCATTCTTTCTGTTTTTAAGTTTCTGTGTGTCAGAAATGTTATCACTCTACTATCACCTTTCCAGGAAAGAAGAAACCACAATAATACATGATCACAGTGAAGTATAGGAAAACTGAGGCAGAACAGAATTTCATTTTTGAGCTGTATTCTGGTCCAGAAAGTTAATTTCCAGAACCACTTGTTTATGTGTTCAACTGCCACATCTTTTTGAGACAGTAGGAATAGGAGAGGCACTAAGCGTCCAGAAGGAAAAGCAAACTGATTTTAATCTTGTGAAAGTGTGCAGAGTTAGCTCATTTCAAAGACAGATCATCTAACCTTTCCAGCTACATTGGAAATTATTGTTAATAGTCTTGGTTACTTGCCATTGTTGCTGCAACACATATTTCAGGTCAGATTTCTTTATTCCAGTAATGCATCTTTAATTCTTAACTTATGGGGGAGAGTTGGTGGTGGGAGGGCAAGGAGGAGAGGAGGAAATGCAGTTGCTATGAAGCGTTGCTGACTCTAGCGATTCTTTAGCAGCGATAATTACTCATTTTATATATGCTTCTCTAGAGGAACTGAGAAGGAAAAGAAAGTCCAAGCTATTACAGAAGCAGCAACCTCAGAAAATTCTTGATGTGAAATTGTGCAGTACTGTTGTTGACTCTGAAAATGGATTCAAACAAGACTACCGAAACAAAAGAAAAATACCTCAAAGAACAACCGTAGAACCCTCCAAACTGGTATTAAATATGTTGGATCAAAATGCAATTCATCTTAGGTCATGGCAGTACTGAGGATATATAAAATTAACTGAGATCAAGGGACCCGGTATGCTCAATGTGGGAGAAAAACAGAGGGCCTATAGAGGGTAGTCTCCAACTTGTTAAAAATCCGAACATTATTTTCTTTCAATATTTGTGTAGTATGTATATGATTTTTGGCTAGTGATTTAGAAAGATGAGGTGTTTTAGTCTGCTATTGAATTACTAATAGAAATACCCAAGATGGGGTGAATTTAGGAGAAGAGAGGCTTTTATTTTTTTATTTTTATGTTTTTAAGGTTTTGCTCTAGGATTTGTGCTAGAGAGAAACAGAGAGACAGTGAGAGGGTAAGTGAGAAATCACCCCCTAAGTGGGATAGCCACCCTGTAATCCCTTCTCCTTCATTGTCCGCCTGGGATTTGAGGCATGCATGCCCACACACACCCAGCATCAATTTCAAGCTGCCAGGTCTGGGACTTGAACCGTAGATGGCCATCATCTTAACCATCACACCACCTGCTGGCCCCAGCAGAGATTTATTTTGACTCATGATTCTGGCGTCTGGAAAGTTCAAAGGTGGAAGGCTGGCCTACAGCATGGTGGAAGGCAGGGTCTTGAGCACAGCAGCTGTCTTAAGTTTCTGTGTCTCATTCCTCTGCTTCTATATGAACCAGAAGTCCATCCTAGGATGTCCCACCCTAATGTCATTTTCACACCCAAAGCCCCCACCCTGGGACACCCTGAAGGAATTAAAGTTTCACTTAATACCTCTAGAGTGCAATCAAGTCCCAGCACATGGAATTTTGGGGGACCTCTAAATTCACAAAAACATGAACCTTTAGGGGACAAACCATCATTTAAACCATAAGATGGGAGGACTTCCAAAAGTCTGTGGAAAAATAAAATTCAAGTATGAGTTTATTTTAGTACCAAAAAAGTTAAAATCTCTGCATATGTGTTTGCATAATATATACTTTTCATGAACATTTTGAAGACCTTTTGTATTTCTGAGAATAGGTAACTGAGGGAAATTGTACTATTTACTTCTGTGGGGACTTTTAAGAATTAGGTGGTTGTAGTTCAGTCCTGTTTATAAATGAGATGTTGGGATAACCGAGCTTTGACAGTTTCACCTAGTTCTTCATAACGTAGACCTCAAAGTTTATTGTGTCTGTGGAGTAGGTGTGGAGGATGACTTCAGGACACTAGACCAGATGAGAGAGAGAAAGTTCCACTGGTTGGGAAGACGAGGTGGGGAAGTACTCAGTATCTCACCCTCTTCATACATGATTATGTAGATACATTCTAGGGCTGTGCAAATACTTTTTAAAACATCATTTGATGGACCAGCAGATGGCATAGTGGTTACATCACTGGACTCCCATGTAGTCAACCACAATTCAAGTCCAGGACTTGGTGGCTTAAAACTCACATTGGGTACATGTACATGCGTGCCTAAAATCCCAAGAGGAGAATGGAGGAGAAGGGATTGTGGTGTGGCCATCCTCCCTAGTGTGTGTGTGTGTGTGTGTGTGTGTGTGTGTGTGTGTGTGGGTGATTTCTTGCTTTATGTCTCTCTGGTGAGCCCATGTGCCTTATAGCAAAAATCTCTCTTTGAAAAAAAGTCATTTAATCAAGGCTAGCTCAGTGGCACAGAGATAAGGTGCTGCTCTAGTCATGCTGGATCAGTATGGACAATCACAGACTCAGTCCTCTTTTCTGTCTGTACACGCCCATGGTCCTGTCTGGCTGGGAGGTACGATTAGGTGGATTGTGGTGTAAGATGCTATTCAGGTGCCTATTGTCCCCCATAGTCTATGTCTCTCACTCTTATAAAAAAAATTAAAATAAAAAACCCAACTCTTTTGAACCTCAGCAGTTACACTTCTTGGTATATGCCCAAGAGAAATGAAAACCTATGTACACCCCAAAATTTACTTATGAATATTCATGACAGCATTATTCATAATAGTCTAAACATGGAAACAAACGCGAATGTCCATCATCTGATGAATGGATAAGTCCAATGTAGAACCTCCATACGGTGGAAATAAACAAGAATGATGTACTGATATGTGCTACAACATGGATGGACCTTGAAGGCATCATGCTAAGTGAAAGAAGACAAGACACAAAGACCACATACTGCATGATTCCATTTATAGGAGCTATCCAGAATACACAAACGTATAGAAACAGAAAGCAGGTTAGTAATTGCTCAGGGTTAGAGGGCGAAGAAGGAAATAATTACAGGTTTTGTTTTTGTAAGGGATAGGGGACAACAAAAATGTTCGCAAATTAAGTCGTGATGATGGTTGCACAACCTTGTGAATATGCTAAAAAGCATTGCATTGAATTTAAATTTCATGATATGGGAATTGTATCTCAATAAAGATATTTATCTATGTAGATAAATAAAGTATCTATGTATCTATATGCCTTATCTGTGTATGTAAGTAGATACATACATATCTAGGTAGATAAATCTATCTATAAATCGATACATCTTTAACATTTGACTTGCCAACTTTCTAATTAGTCCATAAGGTTTACTTTGATTCAGTTCACTTTTTTTTGCCCAGATTGCTCCCTCCTCCAATCTAAACTCACCCAACTCTTTTTGTTATTTTCAATAGATAACTTGAGTTTTATAGATATACCATGAAGTGGGCTTTGCTAAAAATTACAGCTGTTCTGTTTTGGAGGTATTACTGGGAGGGCTGGAAGCAGGCACCATGTAGCCTCTACAGGTACTAAAAGTAAATATTTTTCACAATGGCATGATAGTGCCATTCCTTACAGCTTTGCAAAAGAGTTACCATGCTGGTTTTAAGCCATAATTGGCCATGACTCTGGTGAGGGAACCACAGTAATTACATTTCATGGTGTCATCCTTAAATGACATCCTTAGCTTGTTTCTGGTACAGGGTCAGGATTAAGATTTTTTATACATTACCCCTACTCTAACATTTTACTCACTTCCTACCTCCCGAGTGCCTGAAGTTTCTTCAGCTGGAGCCAAGTTTCTTATTTTCCTATGTAGAGAAGGTGACAGAGCCTACATCTGGAAGTAATAGCCACAACAGGTTGACAAGATTTGGGGAAACAGTTATGCTTAAGTTGGATCAAAGTTTTACAGGCAGGCAGAGAATCTGTATCAGAACTCCACATGTTCCACAGTGTATGAAAAGCCCTCTGTCCCAAAGCCCTGGTTGGCCATTGCCCTGCCTGTTGGGTTCTTGTGAGGACAGCGTAGACCTATAGTTGCATTTTTCATTTGCGACCACACCTCTCATTTGTAATCATTGGTTTTGGAAACAACAGCCTTGGAAGCGAACAGGAAACTGGAAGAAGACTCTGTGGCGACAGGGGAGGGCAGAAGAAGGTAAACAGCCCTGAGAGATCAGATTTTGTCTTTTAGAATAAGTGGAGACCTATGCCATCGTTTTTATCACTGTGAAATGCA